CCAATCAGTTGCTCTGCGGCTGCTCATGTATTGTAGCATTTTACCAATAGTCCAGTCAGGTTGCTTAAGACATTTTAATAGAGGAAGAATCATTTTTTTATTGTCTCCCGCCCTGCAGTAGACAAACTGGCACCGTGCAATCTCTTGCTGGAGGGTCTGCTTCTAGGAAGCCGGGTGTCACTGCCTCACTTCAACATGCTAGGTAACCTATTTGCTTGTACTAACCTGCATATCACAAGGTGATGTCTTGGCTTACTGCTCTTAATGCTCTCAGTATCTCACAAGCAGATAGAGAGGGGCACAAGAATATATTCACTCTTCTGTTTAGCTCTCCAGAGTAGCAAAGACATGGAACATCTCGGGACTCATAGTGCTGAAGGTAGGACAAAGAAAGACAAGGGGGACTGAGGGAAGAGTTAGAAAGCTATTTTGTGTGGAGTTATTCAGTGACATAGAGGAGCACAAACTCTGCCTTGAAACCAGAATAGCTAAGTGCTCACAGTTAATATGTTTAAGCTTGAAAAAGTAAAGGCATCATCTTAAACATTGGTTAAGTGCTGGTTTCATCTTGGAGAAGTGAAGTACCTCTTGCTGATTTGAGTGCAGATGACACACAGCCTCATGTCTTGAAAAAGTTGATTCTGGTAGTCAGGAAATGGCGCAGCAGAGCAGCAGTGATGGTCTGAGGGAGCCGACAGGGTCAACACGGCAGCTGGTAGCCCTGCTGGCACAAACAAGTTTGGGTTCTTGACAAGAAAAGGGACAGCAGAGAGCAGTTTCTGTGGGTTAGAAGAAGAGGATTTTAGAAGTAGTAGAAAGTTGATTCAGCTCCTGAGATGAAAAAAGGAGAGAGCAGACAATCTGAGAGGTCATACAGCAAGCCAGATTTGTGCGATTTTCTCTCAGCTACCTGAAATCTCAGTTATTCAGTCTGCATGACTACACACAGATAAGGGGAAAGTGGGGATGTAGAGGTCAGTCTAGTGGAAATGTGCTAGAGACTGTCAAAGAGAGGAGAGGAGAGAAAAAAGGGAAAGTGTGCATATTTCCCTAGATAGTGATGACATGAAATGAGACCAAGTTAAAAAAGTGTTATTCAAATGTGCCATTCAGAGACATAGATATACATGTGCTGCACTTCTGGTTAGATGCTTAACTACATTTGGTTGTCTAGTAGTTGTACTTTGTGCAATGACAATAAAGTTGAATCTAATCTAATCTAATCTAATCTAATCTAATGTTACAGTCAAATAAACTATATGTGATAGCACTGTTTAAAGCCCAGTGGAGCAGACTTGGTGCATATGTCATAATAACCCTTCCAAAAGGCTGCCGTAATAGGCTTAAAAGAGGAGTTGTGACATTGACTGATTCTAAGATTTCTTCGGACTATAAAGCACTTCCAAGGAACTGATTAAGTAAGGTAACGTAAGTTTAAGTAAACAGCGAACCTCATCTGGTAAATGTACTTCCAAGACTAGCTTCCAGAAAAAGGATCTTGCATGTGCTAACAATGGCTGGAGTTATGTGTGATGGCAAAGGGTGATATAAACAACTTGAAGAAATAGTGAGGTGTGTTGTAGCAAAATTATTTATAGTGAATGGTTGTTCTGTTTTATGTCTTTCTCTGTCAGTTACAAGGCTGAAATAAGTAAGCATGTCATCTCCAATCTTAAACTGGCCTTGAGTTTTGCGTCTTTGCGACTCTGAATTTACACATTGTCCTTCAACTACTTCCTGTGTGAGACCTTTTCAACTATTACTTTACTGAGGCTTGTGAGAGAGGATGCATTCCCTGTTGATGTCCACTGGGTGGCCCACTGGCATAAAAAATGAATAATGTTGGACAGTTTGAAGAAAAGTATGAACATGACTGCACAAGCTTTGGCTGACTAAAAGAAATGACTGATTGACTGATGACTGATGTGGTGAAGAGGATGGTTTGAAGAAGTTTTTGTCTCACCAAAATACATTAACAGGTGAGAGCATTTTGCTGGATTTAGTATTCTAAATCATTCAAAGAGGATGAGAGCTAAGTAATTTAATTATACGGTAAATGACAAGGAGAATTTAACGTTTGCTTTGGTCTTGGTATTTTATTATGATAACCATGAAATCATACCATAACTGTGAAAACATATCATAGTAACTTTTGTTTTCTTGTTCATGTAAATGAAAAGGAAAACAGTTCCCATCCAGTGACATCTAATGAAAAAGACAACATTACCGGTGCTGTTAATGGGAAGTTGTGGGGTTTAGCTGCTTGTGGTTGAGGGAGTGAAAGTGGGAGGTCTAGAGGAGGGAGGCTACAACACCCTCATCTGCCTCCACTTACCAGTCTGATGTGCTTCTGGCTCCATCCAACATCTCCCACAGCCACAACCACAACCTCTGAATGGAACATCCTGCACAGTCCAGCTCATCTGCACTGCTTCCAGGGCCATGTTTGATATTTAGTTGATGCTAGGATTTTATTGTAAGAGTTTTTTTTTTTTTAATTCTCTGCTTCCATTTCTGAAGAGGAAAAGCAAAGAACAGGATTGGCAGGGTGGATTGTTTTAAAGGCACATGCACTGGTTCACTTGTCTCCCCAGAGCTGAAGAGATGTGGTGGGTCAAAGATGAAGGCTCCTTCCTGCAGTCTCTGCTCTGTGCTGTAGGATTCATATGGTGGGAGCTTTCAAATGTGTCATCATGAGAACTACATCTGAAAAGAGCTACAGCTTTGTTATTCTATTCACCAATCACAGTAGTATGTGCTAAACAGGACAAAAATCTAATGTTTTTTTTTAAATCTGTTTTATCTGCTCGTGGTTTATTCCAATTTGGGATCAAAACCAGCTTGGCTTTACGGCATGTTGTCTTTTCTATTTTATCTTGTTATATCTTCTTTGCGTTGAGTCACTTCCCCTATTCTCTTTTCAGCGTGTAGTCTATTTTTGTATCTGTTTTGTTATGTGAATATTTTTCAGTCTCTAGGGTCTGTCACTTTCACTCTCTTCCGGTAGGTTGGTTCAAGTATTCAATATTTTGTACCGCTGTTGCCCTCTTACTGACACTCTGGAACAGTGTGAGATAGTTTTCTAAAATACTAACTGTAACTTGTCTTGTCTAGACTTTACATTCTACAGCTCAATTTAACCCACATTAGGAAAAACAACTGTGGTCTAGGGGTGTGTGTGAAACTTGGTTGACAGCCAGATAAAACATTTAAAGCCACAAGCCAAATGTTCTGGCTACATAGGTGGTCTGATGTGTGATGCTGTATGTTTGACTGAAGTTGACCCTAATACTTTTGGTCGAGTTGCACCTCTAAAGGAGAAAAACAACATTAAGACTAATGTAGCACATTAAAAACTGTGCTTTGTCAGCGTTAACCCTGTTTCCTGTTGCTTGTACAGTTAAGAGCTTTTCCTGGTCTACTTCGAGTCAGTGCAACCTGAGGAGTTCACTTTTAATACATGCATGATTTTGTGTGTGTCAGTTTTAAGAGTTTTGAAATGGGTCTGATTGCAGCCATGACACACACTCTTATGATTGTGGGGTACAAAAATGCCCACTTTTTCTTCTTTTCTATTTTGCATTATTTTTGGCCAATTCTTTGGCCATCAAGGGCCATAACCCAATAAAATACTTTCCTGCAGATGTATTACTGAGCAAAATATAAATTAGACAGCAGTGTCTGCCAAACTGATGATGAATCCTAACATAGTGATAAAATAGTAGGCACCTTAAATAATTCAAAGTGTGTAATAAAAACTTTGTGTAAAATTTTGTTACTGGTGCGTTTGCAGACAAATGTCCTACTTTTTCATCTGTATTACATCTTAGAAAAACACCCCTCTTGCATCATTAGCTTCCTGTAAAAAAAACAAAAAGTAGCACATAAATACAGATGGTAAATACACTGACGTACTGGTGAATTGTGTTCTTTGTGCTGTTCGCTTGAGCTAATAGAATCAAGTGAAAGCCCCATGAAACTCCAGTCCTCAGAGGGGGAAATGGCAACCATGACAACCATTTTCAATTCACTCCATTATCATATCATTTCCAGATGTAGTACATATAATTCAGACCTCCCCCTCCTCCTCCTGCTGGACCTCTTATGATTGCTCTTTTTTTTCCTCTAAAGATGTTGTAAATACATACACTATTGTGCAATCCAATGTTGTTACTGTTGCTGGGTCTAATGTAAGAATGTGTAGTACTGACAACAGCTGATGCATTATGAGTACTCCTCCCTGTAATATGACACCTTACCTCAGTCTGTTGAGCTTTAATTGTAACCTAATTATAAAGTTTGATTTTCATAGTGATCCATCACTTCATCAACTCAATCCTGCTAGCTTCCTGGTGCAGCACTTTTCCCCCCAGCTCCAACTTGCAGGCTGTCACACAGCTCTCAGTGTGCAGCGTTGTTATCAGATGTAGCCTACACACAACATTGTTTTCATTAAGAATGGCAACAGTATTGGACTGTCAGACCCACAGAAGACAAAACAATTCCCAGAATGCCTGGAATGTTGTCTGAGTGGCGTGGTTGAAGGGTCTCGCCACAAGCAATCTGCTGTTAGCAGCGTGGTGAGCAGGAGGAGAGCTGTGGCATCCTTCCTCACTCCCATTGTCACAGCAGCTCAGATGGAGGGAAGAATCCCCACAACCTGCCCATCATCCTGACCTGATCATAGCATTAGAGGGTTGAAGAGCTAGAATAAACAGTACTTTGTTTTCAGCCTTTTGCAAATAAAAAAGTAAAATAATTTGAGTATTTTTCCATTTCAAGGAGACATTTTGGGGACAAAGCACCAATTCCAAAGTCTCTTCCATTGATACTTGTCATATTTGGTTAACTTGATACAAGAACCAAGATGTTTGGAACTAAATATGCCAAAACACCTTTCAACAACAGAATGCATAGCAGATGTTTCAACATACGGTATTGTCACATTATCATAAGTATTGTCAGATATAATTGACATAAGAAGCGGTGATATCCTTGTTAGTTTATTGTTTAATCAGTCTTTGACTCAATTGACAATAGAGTAGATTACTTACAGAATCTAAATATATCTCTCAGAAAATAATACTGTGTTTTTGAAAGAGCATGGTATCTTCCTGTAAATCTCTCACATACAATATATACACATTATTATACACATACACTTGCATACACAGTCCCAAAAGCATCACATCTGAAAGTGGATTCATCTGGACTTGAGGTTTTGCTGTTCAAATAGCTGAATTGCATCTGCATACAGTTGACACACAAGAACTTTGAGGGTGTTTTTATACGTGGTCTGTTTCAGCAATTTAACTAAACTCAAATTTCTCCGCACTGGTGTGAGATTATGGCCCCTCTGAAATAATAAACCAAAGTCAGTCTTCAGCAGTAATCTGACTTGGGTGTAATTTTGAGCCCAATTTGATCAAGCTTTATTTGCCAGTTGTCTGCATCGTGCAGTCAGTCAATTTGTGGTGACTGTTAACTATTACCCCTGCCAAGGAGTTTGTTTTAGGTCTGTCTCTAACTTAAAAATGGCTAAATGGATTTTAGTGAAATTTGGTGAAAAGTCAGGGCATGGGAAGAAAGAAAACTGATTAGATTAGTGCTAGAAGTGAGGCCTTCTTTGTGTAATTGGAACCAAATTTAGATTGGCACATTCACATATCAACTCCAAGTTAAATGACTGCTGAGTTAACTGGTCATAGCTCCTAATTTAGCTATTCTCCAAAAATCAGCCCAGTTGTCATTTACTTGTTTGATGAAGGTTCAGATACAGACTGAAATTTACCATCAAAATAACAGATACTGAGTGCCTTCCAGTTGGATGTCTAATTAGAAACATAAATTTAAAATTGACATAAATTCTATTGACATTAACTTCATTAAAAAATCACCAATGGCAACATGTTCTGCTGTCACATAATCAGACAATCTTCAAACATTCAATTCTATTCATTATAATTCAAGTGCTTATTGATTAAATAATAGTTGGAGTTTTGTTAAAAATAAACATAGACACAACTGCAATCTCTGACAGTATATAGTAAACCAATTTAGGGCTGAAAATGGACACCACCTTAAGAAATGTTGCTTAAATGTCAAAAATCAGACAGTCACAAGCTTTGATTCAAACCCTGTATCTTTTGACCACACATGTACTATTGTTTGCCTTCTGGTGCTAAATGTAACAGTAAGCAGTGGGACTTTGAACTGAGTTCAAATAATGATTAACTGTGTCAGGATACGTACAAGCTTGTTTTACGGGGCGGCAAATACTGTAACACAGCCTCAGTTGAAAATAAACATTATTTCTCACTGTAGATACACATAACGAGGGTGGGACGATGCAGCGAAAATTAAAATGTTGGACACTGTTTCATACATCAACCATAGACAAGCAACATCTCTAGTCACAAGATGTCTAAAAAATACAGTAGGTGTATGTTTGATATAATGTTATAATCTTAATAATAATTTCATTATGTATGAAAAGCATCAACGCTGTTTTAGTACATCTGGCAAAACTTCAAATTTTGCAGTGAAAGCCAAGCAGACTTGCAGAAACAGCCCAGCAGGTCAGAATTAACATACAATTGTTTATCTTAAGGTGTAAATTACAAAGAAAAGTGACTATCATTTATTGTTGTCTGAGAGTTGAATATAACAGTGTGCCCACCTTCCATTTCTCTTCAAGTGAATGCCCCGCCCAGCTGGTGCATCTGTTCACAGGATGATTTATAAACTGGCCCTCTCATTCAGAAAGCAAAAACAAAAAACAAAAAAACCACTAAACTAATGCAGTGATGCAACAGACCTCATGCAAAAGCAAGTTTTAAATTTTCATTTTATAACTGGGCTTCATCACTATTAGTCTGTTCTGTTTTCACTAAATTCCAGGCAAGAAAGCAAAGCAGCTTTGCCAACAATGTGCAGATTACCTTAATGCATCTGAGCAGCATTACAGTTCAAACTCTGTGACAAACACAGTTTTCAGGTGCTTGGCAGGCAAGTCTTTTATAGTTTATGAAGGTTTCTGATAGTGCCTCTAGAGTGACCCAGACAGGCTTCATATTTCCACTGGACAAAACCTCCCTACCACTCATGAATGCTCATACAATTTAGGGAATGTACATGCCACTACCTCAGGGCCCTCTCTGTGATCTTGGGGGGGGGACACTTCACTGACACTATGTGAGGGTCTTCATGCATAATTCCTGCAGAAGCAATACACAGCTTAACAAATCACATACTGAGTTGAGGCTATCTGCTCAAATGAATGAATGAGTTGATTTGAACCACTTATGGTTAACAGGTGATGTGATTTCAGCAGAGATCACAAGAGGTATACCGGTTATGGATGAACCCTGAATACAAGCTTTATATAAGGATTTCACGTAGTTGTGTGACTTGTTGTATGGATGTATAGTTTACACAATGTATTTGTTGTGGAGCTTATAACATATGCAAGAATAATCTCTTTATACCTGTGAGTGGATACCTCAAGACATCTTTTAAAAAATGAACTGAGAACATCTCTTCATACCAGTACCTACATCTAGCTACAGGGTAGTACGGGTATCGAGAAAGAAAACAGCTTTTGAAATGAAGCTACAATTTCTGAAAGAGCATACATTTTGTATTCCACCTTTTAAATGTGAAGATTATTCAATATGATAATGAGGAATCACTCTCAACACATTTGAGTAAAAAGAAAATGCAGCTCTGAAAAGGTAGAACTGTCAAGTGATCAATGGTCTAGTTTGAGGGCGGTAAACACTGATGTTCACAGGCAGCGCGGAACGTTGCTGACACACAGTGCAAGTTCATAGCTTACTGCTTGTTGTTCTGCTTATGTGTTATGCATCAGTTGTAAAATTATTCCTAAACTGTATCTAGTAGCATATTGCGACTCTAAAGTGAAATTTAGGCAGTCATGCATTGGTCAAACTTGCACACACTGTCAGCACAGTATTCATAAACACCGCCGTTATCAAGAAAGCCGCTCCCACTAAGATGCCGTAGCGACTGGCGGTCCCTTGCAAACAGGATATTTTGTGTGTTTGTCTTAACGGTAGTGATCAGCTGATTGTGCCGATTTACAGCCCTCAAAATAGAAGTAGAGGAGAACTTCACGTGTTGACAAAAAATAACAGCACTTAGTGGTTTTTGCTTGGTTTGTCCTCTCGCTGCAGAACTGGATAGATCAGATCATGTTCTGAAGGTGACAGGAAATTCCACAGTTAGCTACGTCGCTCTTAACACAGTCCAGAGCAGTCGGGGAGCTCAGTCAGATACTGGCTCTGTAGGGGGGAGATAAGTGCCGGCTAGGTTGAGAGGTGGAAAAGGGGAAGGGGGAGTGGGAGGGGCGCCAGTAATCTCCCCGTGGGAGATCTCACGTCACCACTTGCTGCACTGTTGAGCGTTCGTGAGGGCAGGACTGGTCTCCACAGTGCAGCCTCCTGAGCAGCCGCTGAAGCTTGTTGGAGAAGTTTTTGTTCATCTGCCTATACATGAGAGGCATTGCAAAGCTGCTAGAGAAAGCCAGCAGTTTAGACACACATCTTAAGAAATAATAGGTAGGTAAGTAGTGTGCACTGTTAATGTACCCTGGTGCACCGGCTACAGTGTGTACCAACAAGGTCATGTAGTATGGGGTCCACAGTACAAACTGCACACAGACTGAGGCTAGCAGCAGTCGGTGGATCGAAGGGTCCAAGCGAGCAGAGTCCTGATCCAGAGGTGTAGACTCCTTCCTAATGCGCAAAATGAGTACAAATGCATAAAGAACAGCCACAGCTGGAACCACGTAGCCAATGAACATCATGATGGCATCTGCTGCCTCCTTGTTCTGCATTTTAGAGCACTCAACCATCTTAGTGGAGATGTGGTTGCACACATAGAAGAGCAAGGACGAGAAGCTAGTGAGCACCGCCCCGCCCCAGATGAACCCACAAACATGTTTGGTGTTATACACACTGGACATGTACGTACGAGGCAGGGCCCGCTCTATGTAGTAGTCCAGACTGAGCAGCGTGGTGGAATACATGATGACCAGAGAGGAAATGTTGAAGAGAATGAGCAGGGTAATGTAGACCTCGTTGTTGTACTCCCATGCATGCCAGCGGGTGAAGGTGGAGCTTAGCAGCTCCACAGGCGCCACCAGATTGAGCACGAGGCCCGCTATGGCCATGTTGACAAAATAAACATCCGGCATGGTCATGGACACCTTGTTGGAGAGGTTGACCACGACCAGCAGCGCATTGTAGCACAGCCCCAATGGGAAGCACACCAGGAGGTAGATGAGGGAGAAGACCGACAGGATGAGGCCATAGTCCTGGCAGAGCTGGAAGTCAACGCTGGTGTCCGTCTCATTGTAAACCATGCAGATCCACATCGCTGGGGTCACACACGGGTCACGTCTCTCAACAGGTCGACTGCAGAGTTAGGGAGAAAGAAGTTCGTTACTGCACTGGTAATAAATGTTACAGTTGATATCAATTACCAGTAATAATTAAAGCTGGGGTGATATTGACAAAAATCTAATATTGTGATATGTTTCACATAGGTTGTAAGAATGACTAAGTAAGTTCAGAACAAGCAAAAAAACATTGAGTTGTTTATTCATCCATGAGCAGAATTCAACCCTCTCTGTTTCTGATGCCGGTGCTGACTAGAGGAGCGAGCAAGGCCTTGACACGAAAACACGTCATCCACGGCACAGCTATTATGCCCTCGGTAACACTGTTAATTTCACTTCACTGCATCTGACTGGCTGAATACAAGCGCCTCACAATATGTTTCATTTGCTGGCTCAGGCCCAAAACCCAGCCACAGTGGCCAGAGCAAGTGTTTGACGCCTCTGCAAGATTTTGCTGTCTTTTCTCTGTATCTTTCTCTGTCAGTCACATGCAGGGGCATTGCTGCCTGTGCTGTGCTGCCCTTGTGCTTTTCACATGGTCAAGCAGCCACATAAACCCTTCCCGCCTAACGCTGTTTTCGTGTTACTGCCGTGAGTAAAGGACGTGCACCTTCTGTTCAGGTTCCTGCCAAGCTGACTGGGGGTCCGGCACATGGGTGATGGGTAGATTTATAAAGAGTGAAATGTGAGGCAGGCCCCGGTGAAGGGTCAGTGAGGGCCGAGTTGAGGGGTTGGAGTTCAGGGCAAGGTCAAAGAAAATGACCGTGCACATGTCGGGAGCGTTTGTGATCAAGCCTGATGGGGCTGCAATTTTTCAAAAAGCTTATGTAATGCTGCCTTGCATAATTGATTCAGGTCAGTTTAATAAATTATTCAAATAGCCTTGGTTAAGGAAAAAGAAGATCAAGAGGCTATCGCAGGATTGCAATGATAAGTCACAGAAGGTCACTGTATTTTACTTCCTCTGTGATAATTGAGCGGTTATGCTTCTGCATGTTTGGCTTCCTTCCCAAAGCAGTTTTAAAAGGAATTCTGCACAACTTTCTGGAAAGCTCCCCGTCAAAATACTGTGGAACAAAGCACAGGAAGGCAGTTCTGCTTTCAGGAGAGTAACAATGCCAGTAAAGGGAAAAGATTCTTCCGTTCACTTACGTAACACCACTACAGAGAGGCTGTTTTGGCCGTAAGTCTCAGACAGAGACCCATATACACACACAAGGGCTCAGTCCCTCCTCTATACTAATCCAATTGGCTGTAATGAGACTATAGTAGAGGCTGGAGCTCAGAGCTGGACTGGAACAGGATCAGGAGGACCAAAGTGTAGAGTTACTCTTAACAAAAAAACCTGTCTTCACCAAGACAGCAGCAGTCTGACCCCTCGTAAACATAGCTCTCTAACACAAGCTGCTAGGTGACTCATTTACTAAAACGGGCCTTGACAAAAGTACATAACGAGCTCTGATCCTCTCCCATAGATTACCAGTTTGTGCTCTTTTCACAATGTATTGTAGATGTAGTGTGCTCACTCTACACTCCTTCAGCAACCTCTGATCATTTAAGAAGAGAATGACTTTAAGAGAAGTTGGTGAAAATGAAAGAGAGCACACCGCATTGTGGCTGGCTGTCTCCATTCATTAGCACCTGCTGTATACTGACATTTTAGCACCCCTTTCATTACCACGTTGGCTAACTCTGTAGCTTACGATAGCTGCAAGGTACCCGAAATTCTGCCTAAAAAAGGAGTCATGAGTTTGTGGTACACTGGTGATAAATGACTTTAACTGTTGACCTTTCAAAAGACATTGTTTCCTGTAGCCAGTATACACCTAGTATTTGACAATGACAAACCAATGATAAAACTGAGATGAGAACTAATGCCATGGCCCTTATATTGCGCAGCAGAATGAAGGAACACAGTGGGAACAGAAACATAGGGATTTCCTACATTTACATACTGGAAGTGACATTTAGGTGTAATATAAATCAATTTTTACTTATATTATTATATTATGTATTTTGTTTCCTGCTTAACCATCAGGCCTTTCTAAAATCAGACACCCATGATTTCACTTAAAAAGGCCAAACCAATCAAGGCATTACCAAACAATACAGTCCTAAGAAATAATGAAAATGATCAATATCTGCAGCCCTGACGACTAGGAATAACACACACTTGCTCATAATTGGATGATAAACTGAGATAAACATTATCACAGGAGGTAATGAGATGTTTTCTCTTGTTGGATTGTTTAGTACAAGCTTTCAAGAACAAGTTTTTGGTAATGTTTATGCCCACCAAAGATCACCATTTGTATTTAATACAGCATGGATACAAATGTATTGCTAAGTTCATATGTGAGAATAAAATGGTAAATAGACTTTAACAGTGCCTTTCTAGTCTTCTGACCACTCAAAGCGCGATACACTACATTTCACATTGACTCATTCATTCGAAAACAGGAGAAATATGGCTTCTTCCTAGCTGATTCCCGTAAAGGTGAAGACAACATGAAGAAAAATCTTTGTTGAGTTCTTCTTGCATGGCTTTGACTGCAGATGTACACTTGGTTAAGCCCCATCTGAACTTTTTGTGCTACTCCATGTCAAAAGTGGTTAAATGAAATATTCCCAGAGGGGGAGGCCCTGCTGCAGCATGCTTCAGCCCAACCAAACACGATCTCGTATGAGTGACGCCCACGTGCTTGACGTCTCGCCGCTTTGAAGCCAGGTCTCACAGGCTGATGGGAGTAGTGTGACATACTGGGCCCACACCCCTCATATATCCTTACTGGAATTTACAGGCTCTTCTCAGAAAGTAGAAAGAGTGATGTCACATGATTCGCTACTCACGTCTGCAGCAGAGCAGCAACAGGAATACTACAGGAGGGAAATAAGATTACATGACTCACACATGTTGTGACTGTGCGTCATTGTCAGATGTGATGTATAACACAATGACATTTGATGCACAAAGTTTACTATACTTGACGGTGTATAATTTAAAGTAACTGGCCACAGAAGTACCAAACTACTCACAGTATGAGAGCTCATTAACATATAAAGGGTTCATTTAAAAAAAAGCTTTTCTGGTTCCCTTCTTGTGTGTTTCTCGGCTGCCTATTATTCTTGGAAAGCAGCCCATTAACTGAGAGTATTAATGAGGGATCTGACTTCAGGTGCATGCTAATGCTGCATAACATTTCGCAAATTAAAATTACTAAGCTCTCAGAGGTGATTAAAATACTTGCCACCAAGTCCATTTCTGTGGAAGGGGTTTAACATAATTCTGAACACTTTCCCTAAAACATTATCAGTCTCCAGAGAACTGAGTCACAGCGGTTGAATTTTTTTTGTGGGCAAGATAAGTTGTTTTGGAATGGATTCCTTCCAAACTACAGGTTTTGTGACAACATGTACATAGAGGATTTTTTCCTCTATGTACATGTACATACATTTTTCCTAAGTAATTTCCCCAGGGGGATTATTAAAGTATTTCTTTCTGATTCTGATTTGAAGACCATCTGATCTGGCCGAGTGATAACTGGCTCATATCAGGTTTTGGTGTAAGAGACGCTGTATAAGCACAGGTCACGGTCAGTCTTGATGGCTTTCTTAGCATCTTTTCTGCAACATGTTGAACCGGCACAGGCGTCAACAAAGTCAGAGTTCAATGATCAGCACAAAGCAGGCTTACTGCCATTAAGCCATGGCACACATGCATGTCCCCCTCCGTCACATGGATGAAGTTGACGACAACAAGTGCAACGCCTAAATCTCCAGAAGCATTTTATTTGGTGAGCGGTAAGACTAAGACAGAACTACTTTGTCAGGAAGTAGCATTCACTCAGCCTCCTAGTTGATGTGAAGTATGGTCAGGTGGATATATAATATCTTAAATTAGTGGCTTTAAAAGCCAATCAAAAGCTTTGATATCATTTATCAAAACAAAGATTATACATATACAAAGAAAATATATTCATCTGCCTGTTTATATAAGAATAAGGATATATGAATGATTTAAAATCACAAGACTAAACAGACACACACTTATATCAATATAAATGTAGTAATTACTAATTACTCATTTAATTGAATGTATTAGTAGTGTATTACACTATAAACATTGTTAAATGAACAGACACTATGACATCCCATTAGCTGTAGGTCCCGAAGGCAGATGTCATTTCAACAACATATAGGCTTTTATTAGGAAGTCTACAACAACTTTCAAAACTACTTTATCATTGCCAGTGAAGGAGCTTTTCAACAAGGCCTCTGATTAAACTGAACTTTTTCCCAGCACTTGAGAAAGGTGCTCCCGTGAGAAACGTCTTCAGGTGTTGTTTTCCAAACATAAACGGCTCGTTAAAACGCTACAACAGCTGAACAAAGGTACGAGAACAAACCATCCTATCGTGGTCTGTGTATTTATTATGGCACACACTGTCTCTCCATCACACTTGACTGCACAGATCAAAGCGTGGATAACTGTCACGGCTTCACCATTATTCTCCCATTTCTGCGCCTATTGTTGGCACAACTAAAGCTACTCACTCTCGCATCATCTCCCATCTCGCAGTGGGACAAATTCACTTCTCTGCCGCTCTAAGGTCAAAATTTTCACCGCAAACGCATCACATAAGTAGCTCGAAATAATACAACAGAGAGGAAAACTCACCAGAAACGTAACGTTATAGATTTGGGTCGGTGACAAACCTACGGAGGCATAGGGTTTGGATGTAGCATTTCCACTGGCATTTCTCAGTCGTTTCATTTGACAAACAGACGTCCTAAAATACGCGCTCCGGCTCTCCCCGCGCTCCCAGTGCCTAAAACCAGCAAAAACAACCGCTTTCCTGCATGTCGGCGGACATTCACTTCATCTATCAACTTTTCGGACGAGGCTTGTTCTGAAAAGGGGCCGTCCGTTTCAGACTTTACTACTGCTGGAGTGCTGCTGAGCCCTACAGTGTGTACACACGTGACCCTCCCCCACTGTCTCCTCGCTCCGCTCTCTGCTGCTCTTCCACGGTCGCGAGGCCCGAAAGCCCGTTCTCAGCTCTGATTGGACGGAGGGCAGGGAGGTGGGGCGCGAGGGAACCCAAGGGGAACACACACACATACACACACACACACACCTACACAGTTACACAGTTACACACACACTTTCCAGTTCATCAATATAGCAATTTATTGATTTGCCGAGTAAAATTATCAGTAATAATTCCTAAATGGGGATTTTAACATTTATTGTGCTTCACTTAAAAACACAATTGGTTTTTGGCCTTAGCCTGAATCCAATAACCTCAAAGAAAAGCATGCATTGGTTGCCCATAAGACTGAAACACATTTTGATTACTCTAACCATTCCTCCTTTTCACCCATGAAGAGATCTGTTCCCAAAATCAATTTTAGTGTAAGTGATGGGGTACAAAATCCTTATTACTCACTCAGCAAATGTGTTGTTGTTTTTTGTATTGGCCCCCATCATCTCCACTGAAAGTGCATTCAGAAGGGATCTCTTAATAAACAGTATTGTTTTCAGACAGACTTAACTGGTGATGATAGGTTCACAATTGTTTGTCTCAGTGATCTTTAACAATAAACATACGTTCAAAATAAAACCAGCCCTGCGTTACAACAAAATAAGGGCTTGTGTTGGTGAAGTTGTTTCAGGATCCGGTGAGATGTGAACTATGATCCAGGAAGGCCAGAGGCAGAATAACGGTGGCTTTCTATTCTGATGAACATATAAGGAAAAGTTTATATTGAATCAGAGTAGATTATCACTTTGGGAAGTATTGTAATAAATACAGAATGTTAGAAAGATGAAATACCTTTGTGTTGTTCTGTTGACTGAAGCCCCATTGAGCAACTGAAGTTTGCTAAGAAGATTAAGGATTATGATGTAAATTCTTCTAACACATATCATAATCCTGACATGGAGAACAATGTTGTACAGCAGATGTTTCTAAGTATTAAATGTGTCCCGTTTGAACAGCAGCTGAGTTCACCATGGATTACTGTAGTATGAAGATAATGATCCTAGTTAGTTAGTAACTGTTTTTTATTACAGTGCCTAAAGGCTGTAGTGTTTTATGACCAGACACATATGCAAATGTTCTTGTTTTTTGCTTTAGATGCACATTCTCCATGTTGCATTTTGCGAAGCCTGACACCATATTTTATTTTAATAAGGGAAAAAATGTCAGTGATTTCAAGGTCCCATGGCGATATATAATCCTTACAGTACAGTATTAACTTTCAGTAGGTACTGATGAGTCATACAGAGACAGCAAGTAAATGTCATGTTAGGTTTTATTGCAATTTTTTGCTGAAAAACCTAAAAAACTCATGTGACCATGGCTAAGCTTTCTCCGTGGACCTGAGATAACATGGCACATGCAGCATGGTAACATCAGGTCTTAATCAGTGCTCCACTGTGTGCAGATCCATCCCTTAATTTCCTGCTCAGCACCTAAGAGGAAGGAGGGATACAGCAACAAAGCCCTAAAGTGAAACTCTGAAGTCAGTGTTAAAAGAACCTGGAAGCAGGTATTTCATTAAACTTTTCAGAAATGTCCCCTTCAGCTCTCCTTGCAAGTAATGGATTAGTTCTAGGCCAGCAATAAAGTGAAGACAGTAATGAAAGATTCTTTGAATTCACAGTTTCAAAACAAAATGCCCTGCCATGGCTCAGTGAGCGCACACAAGCTTTATAGAGTGTGTAGGGGTGGTGAACATAAGTCCCATGTGTCAGTCAGATATATGTGTAAGAACTGTTAATTTGAAAAGATAGTGTGCAATCTGATAATTTACCCTTCAGGAAACTGTAACTCAAAATGTTCCCTGGCTGTAGGTATAATTCAAGCTAATCAGTCTAGTAAAAGCAGAGACATCTATGCTATAAATAAAGACACTCCCTTTGTGACATTGTCTTCAAAAGACACATTACAAAAAATGCACATTCCAGGACTAAAAAAATCACTCTGTAATATAATTTTTCACAATATGGCAACAACAGAAGATAAGTGCAGTGGAAACATACAATCTTTCCTTTTGCATGTGTTATAGTGATCATTTATGCAAGAAGGAGTACTGCATCAGGCTTGAGTCTTAAATGTCAAGCGCTTCACTTTCCTTAGCTGCATCGACTATGAAGCCAAATCAGAAGCAAGTACGAATAAAGAATACAATTCCAGCAGAGGAGTGGGGAGATATTCACTAAAGTATGTTGATGGTAGCGAGGCTCTGCAGGATCTCCATTATACACTACATGGATGATACGACAATACTGATTACAACAACACCTTCTACCAACTAATGAGCTGAGACAAAATGTTACTGTGAATGGGCCAGTATGACAGGTTTAGCAGCGTCAGATCTATAAGTCTGGTCAGCACACAATAAGAGGCTTAGGGTAGTTTGGTCATTCAGGTTTAAACTGTAGCACTGTAGCATTTGCTAGGTTTTGACCATGCAGAAACATTTGACATGCATGGCCAGAATGCAGATGGGGAAAGTCAGGCAAATGACAACTGGATGGAAAATCACCAATGTCCTTCTTGTTCCTGGCTGGCTAGCCTTGATTTCTGTCTTTATCTCTGCTTTCAGCTAATTGAGGCACATCAGTGGAACAGCACTCATAGCTTTCTGATTCCTGCAACAGCATCACCCTGGAGACAGAGATTAGGGTTGTTCCAACAATTATACTGTTGACTGTGTTTCCTTATCAGATAAGACATAAGTCAATCACCATCCAGAATTTTCCATCTTCATTGTAGAATACGCACATTTCAATTCTGCAAATTTTGCAAATTGATTAAACTAATGGATTACAGAGATACACAGATACACAGTATATCTTGTCTTTTTTCTGGCCATGGATTACATTAAATGTTAGGTATCAGAGACATAATGTTTTCAATTTGTTTTCAATACCCAAGCAAGAGGAAACTCTTCGTCACTTACAGTTTCTTTCTTTCTGTGTCTGATGGTTGGGTGTTAATGCTATAATCCATCATGTTTCTCAATGTCGGATTAATTCTACTGTATATGCTTATGCACAACTTAAAGTTTTCTTTAGCTTGTATGATGTGCACTACAAGCTGGTCAGGTGTTTCCCAAATAAACCCCACAATTTCATGTTTCTTTCCAGTGTATCTGGCTTTAGTGGTTTAGTATATTGTCTTAATATATTTTCTTTTCTTTATTTTTAATCAATTAGATATGTATGTTATTGTGTTTATTAAACTAAAACTTTTTTTTAAATTGTTGATCGCAAATGTGGAGTAATGCTGGTTTGCGTGACAGTGCCTGTGATGTAGTCATTTACTGCAGCAGGGGAGAAAGTGAGTGTTAGTGTTAAGGGCAGAGTGGACCGTGGGTCTGAGGGACTAAATCACAGTTTATCCCCAATCAAGCTCTGAAATCTGCTCCTATTCTTGGAAGCCTCAGCACCACTGTAAGGCTCTGGTCTGCATTTACTTTCCCCTAAAGACTTTAGACTGCATGACGACATATGGCTTGTTTACAAATGAAAGTCTTTGCTTGGCCTCAGTCAGCCCTGGATGCATGTCAGCTGTTTGCACAGTCACTTTGGCACCAGATGGTCACAGACACATAATGTGAGTCTAATGATTAAACCACAGTGTCTGTGGGCACACTGAAATTATAAAATATTTCATCAGATTAAGATTTTAAGTCTTGCCACAGTGCTAGAGCTGTTCCTGTACTGAAAGATGATGTTGTCTGAAAGTTATGACCAATCGCAGCAGCAGACACACCTCAGTGCTTGTGTGTCTGACGTTTTGAATTTCTTTTGACTGTGGAGAATTGCATGCACATAAACAGAGGCAAACAGTGCAACACAGCAGCATAGTGCATGTTGTGCACATGCCTTTAAGCTCAGAGGCCTGGGAGTGCACATTAAGCTCATTAAGTCTGTGGTGGAGATTATGGTGTGTTGCAGACCAGGCACCAGCGTCCAGTGGCTGGGACGTCTCCTCATGTTCAGATGTCAGGGAGGAGGTGGATAGATGAAGGTGGAAGTGCTTTTTCTAGTTACTATCAAGTTAACAGTTCCAACTTGGGACACTGGACAGTATGAAGACGCCTTTTGCCTTCTAATAGAAATAACCAATTTAAATTAGATCTAATTTAACACACATTTTAATGATGGAAATCCCACCTAAATGCATAATGCAGTTGCATACACCCACACTACTAAAAACAGAATAAAAAAAGTGCAGTACTATGTAAAATGTTGATATGTAGAGCTTGGATACAGCGAGATAATAATAAACAAAAACAAGTTCATAAGATGAACATCAGCATGAACCCTGCAGCTTGTTTTTGTTTTGCCATCACAACTGATTCAGCAGCACACTGTGGTCTGTCATCCTGTCAGACAGCTTCCTGGAAAATGATTTCCCATGTAGCAGGATGTGTTTGTGTCACCAGACCTGCTTGTGGAGGCAGTGCACATGTTTGATGGCTATATGTGTGTGCATGTGTGTCATTCAGTATTCTGGTTCTGTAAATATGAACATAAATGAAAAGCATTAAAATGTTTAAATGTTGGACTAAATAGGTAAATGCATATACATACAAATGATGGTGTTGCTGCAGTGAAAGAATGGAATAGCAGTGGAGCCTGGATTAATATAACACTACGTAAGCCTGTCTCCTAAGCTGGTGTCTGTGTGTTTCCCTGCTGGGACAAATGATGCTTTGGAAAGATTTTTGGTGATGAATTTTGATATTCCCCTCCCATCTGTCTGTCTCTTACCATTTTTACTCAAAGATACATTAACCTTTGGGCCTTTCAAGCCGAATAATATCATGAGCAGTAGTGATTTTTGCTTTGTCCTGGCCCACAGCCCTTCTTATTGTTTGTGCTGAAGTGAGCAGTATGCCTTGGCAGAAGATGACATATAGCATCTGCTAATCTGGAACTACTTCTTCTAAAAAGTCTAAAAAATAGC